CTGCTGCTGCTGCTGCTGCTGCTGGTTGTCGCTGCTGCTGCACCCCTGCTGCTGCTGCTGCTGCTGCTGCTGCTGCTGCTGAGAGCTTGTGCCTATACGCCCGCAGAGAGAACAGGAGACACCTCGGTTGAGAAGAGACAGACGGCGCAGTGCTGCTGCTCTTGTGTCTCCTGCTGCAGCAGCTTTCCGCTGGCAGCAGAGAGCAGCAGCAGCAGCAGCAGCAGCAGCAGAAGAAGAAGAAGAAGAGCCTGCTGTGGATGCTGCAGCAGATGGCTTCGCTGCTGCTGCAAGCCCTGACTTGCTGCTGCTGCTGTTGCTGCTGCTGCTGCTGTTGCTGCTGCTGCTGCTGCCGTTCTTTAGAGCTGCTGCTGGTGGCGAAGCAGCAGCAGCAGGTGAGTTGCCACTGGGTGTTGCTGCTGCTGCTGCTGCAGCAGCAGCTGCTGCTGCAGTTGCTGCTGCTGCTGCATCCTCGATACTAAAATCCCTAACAGCAGCAGCAAGCTGCTGCAGCTGCTTCCTGCTGCTGCTGTCTGCCTTCACGCCGCATGCAACCAGCAGCAGAGCAGCAGCCTCCAGCAGGCAGCAGCGGGCGAGGAGGCCTTTGTTATTGAGCATATCACTGTAGCTCTGCGGTCCCCTGCTGCTGCTGCTGCTGCTGCTGCTGCTGCTGCTGCTGCTGCTGTGTAGAGAGAGAAAGAGACATTGATATGTTTTCTCGTCGCAGCAGAATGAAGGCACTGCAGCAGCAAAAAGACAAGCAGCAACTCTTGCTGCTTCTCCNTTTTCTCGTCGCAGCAGAATGAAGGCACTGCAGCAGCAAAAAGACAAGCAGCAACTCTTGCTGCTTCTCCTGCGTCTCCTACTTCAGCTATTTCAGGTGTCTCCTCACCACCTCCTGCTGCTGCTGCTGCTGCTGCTGCTGCTGCTGCTGCTGCTGCTGGGTCTGGGGGAGATGCATCAGCAGCAGCAAGAGCATCTGTCTCCTCGCCGCCATCAGGCTCAACAGAAGACCTTCTTAGTCTCGCGGATGTGCGGCATTGCTGCTGCTGCTGCTGCTGCTGCTGCTGCTGTTGCTGTTGCTGCTGCTGCTGCTGCTTCCCCCGCAGGCTCTTGCTGCGCCTCTGCTGCTGCGGTCGTTCCTTCTCATCAGACGTAGCGGCGGTACCTGGAGATCTTCCTGCTGCTGCAGCTGCTGCTGCAGCAGCTGCTGCTGCTGCTGCTGCTGCTGCTTTGCCCCTCCTCGTGAGGGGACAGCTGTCTCCGTTGTCTCTTCTGGGGGTTGGGGGCCTCGATTCTGCTGCTGCTGCTGCTGCTCTGCAGCCTTTGGGACTTGTTGCTGCAGCAGCAGCAGCAGCACTAGCAGCAGCAATTGCTGCTGTTGCTGCTGTAGCTGCTGTTACCGTTGTTGCAGTTGCTGCTGCTGCTGCAGCTGCTGCTGTTGCTGCATTCTGTTTCCCCTCATCTCCCTCTTGTGTATCCGTTATATCTTCCACTTGCATGCGTTTCTCC